CCCCCCCCCCCCAAGCTCCTTCGACCCCATGCTTTCTGCAGCAAAAGCCCAGGTCTGCACTCAGTGAGATCAGTCAAGTGCTGTTCCTTGAAATCAGCTGGACAAGTGATGTAACACACTCTTCTCTCCCTCAGGGGACAGGGAGGTTTCTAAACAGGTTTTTTTCCCCTCTTCTCATCCTACTTGCCAGCTGTGTTTCTATTCATGCTTTCTCCGGAGCAGGAATTTCCCTCTTCTCAGCAGTGCCAAACTGTTTACACATTTTAAAACTGTAACTTTTATAAAAGCTTCGTTTCAGTCAGTGCAACAATGAACCCTGCCAATATTTGCAGCCAACTTAGCGGTCTTTTCCACGCACGTATTTTACTGCTTCTCATTCAAGAAGGTAGCGATGCACCTTTTTTGCAACATAATCAAGTATATTTAGCACTTTCCTAATGCAAACAAACATGCTAAATAATGATCAGGGAGTGCTACAAAACTTTTCATTTTTAGGCTGCTGAATTTTAGCTAGCACACGATTTCCTAATATCAGAGGTGCACGATTACTCTGGATGTGATTCTGCATGCTTTCCAGTCAATGGAAGCCTGCAAGTGACTTCAAAAGCAGCAGACCTTTAGCGATACCCTGGAGACTGCATATACCAACCATGGATTCTTTTAAACTGTCAGAAAAATTATTTAAACTGAAAGTTCAGCCTACGTCAGCATTGCAGGAGATTAATCTTATGTGGGGTTCTTCTCTCTGTCCTTTTAATGAAAAAACAACATCCAATTGCAAAAAGAAATGATATAGAGTGGAATGCATAAACCCAGGGCGTGGGCTGCAGCCCACACACACGCAGCATGTGTGTCTGCAAGTGCTTCCCCTCCGTGAGACTACTTGGCATGAGTTAGCGCTGCAGGATCAAACACCCAACTCTCAATGCACTGGTCTGTGTGAGCCTGCACTACTTGGGGAAAAAGCCAGCCAAAGTCAATGCTCTTGAACACATGGTGCAACACGGTTTAATTTCATAATACAGCTTCCCATATGTGTGTACTTGTCCTAACGCAGATGAAGTCAAAGAAGCCATGACAACTTGCATGGAGAAATGTGGCCTGGAGTGGCCGACGTACAGAATCATCATGAAATGATAATGCTTGCCATCAAAATGTGGTTTATAAAGTATTTTTTTTAATATTAGTATTATTTTTAAATAGTGCAATGGGTCTTTATAAAAGCTTCTTCACTCACTCTTTTTATCTACTTCATAAATAAATATTTGGTGCTTATCTACCTTCCTTTTCAAAAGAGCTTTACAAGTGTCAAATGATTGTCAATCACAGCTAGGCAGTTAGATAATTAACTACTATATCCATTTTCCAGGTGGAAGAAAATGAAGGTAGAAAAGTTGCTTTAGGCTATAGGGAGATTCCATCTCAGAGTCAAAATTATGCAGCTAATCTTGTGCCAGATGCATTAAAAACAATAAATCATTAAATACACAGATAAAGCAATCCTCACGCTCCTTTTTATGCTGTTATTACTTTTGCTAAAATTTGGAAACTGATTTTGAATTTTGAATTTGTTTTTAAATCCTATTACTAGGTCTTGAAGAGCTAAATATTGAGGAAAAATGGAGAAGTAAGATGCATATCCAAAAATATTCTAACCTGCTAATGCTGTATTTTGGCTTTATATTTTTAATGTTCTTGCTGGATGTTAGCGCATTGCTGTCCCTTATTGCTTCTCTTAAAAAATATAAAATCAAGTAGCCAGAAACTTTGAAAAAGGTAAATTTAGAGGTACACGGATAGCTTGTTGCACAGAAACAAAAATGCAGACACGCCATTGCTTTCCTAAAGTAACGGACACATCCGAGGCCACCACATTCTGTAACATGAAGTTAACTTTCTTAAACAACAACCTGTTCACGACTTACTCCTGAATTATGACTTGAAAACAAAGGAGGGAGTAAAACCTCCAACCAGTTTCCTTAAAAAGTCACTCACCAATACTGACATTTTGCCTTGCGTGAATCCCTTTCAGTACTTGTCATTACAATTGTAAGATTGCTGCTGCCCTATTGCAAGATGTGTTGGCAACTTTGAATTTCAAAGTGAGAAGAGAAAAATAAATACCTCAATTTAAAAGTGAAATGATGCTAGAATACTAAGTCCCAACAAGCGAGTATACACATTGAGCAGTCAAGGTTTACTTGACAATGACACACAATTTTAAAACTTCCGGGGGTTCTTCTTTTACTAACTAGGAACTGATATGAGAAACCGGTCTGTTGTGCCCACTGACTACTACAGAAAATACCACGTACTATATAAACAACATGCTAGACAATTACTGAAACGTGTGCCTTGTATTTTTGATGTTTCACTTTGCACAGTGCACAGAAAAGGGTTGGGGGCTCTTAAGAAAACCAGTGCAACATGCTCCGATGTTAGAAATGCCCCACTAGCAATGGAATAAGGTTCTAAAACAAATCCATTTTGGAAGGTCCTTTACTAACACTTTGGGGAGAATTAAAACAAAACACACACATACACAAGTGATCATATGCAGCTTGTAAATATTCTCAGGACTTTACTGGATGCTGCACTGTCCATTTCTAAGGTTGGGCTGGGCTACATGGAGGATTCAGCATGTTGCTGGCTGGGCCGCACAGAGGATTAAGAGTGCTACTGGCCCTTTAAGAAGGGGAAAGGGACTCACGTACAAGTGTCAAATGCTCTACACACTTTCCTGCCAGCCTCGGGTTCGCTGCTCGGTATCAATGAAATGCCAGGAGCTGGGACTAGGCTGCAGGCCGCCACGGCTTGGCGTGCTTTTATAAAGGACACAGCAGCTTCCAAGGGAAGGAAGAAACTTTGCACCCATATTGGAAGCCCGGTGCAAACCTCCCCAGCTCACTGGCAGGGCAGGTGGGAAGAGCACCCCAAGGGGCACGGGCGATGGCCGGGGCAGAGCTCGCCAAGCCCCGTGCCAGGGGGGGGAAGGGGGGCCGGTGACATGGACAGGATGGCAGCATTTTGTAAATTACAGGCCCGTCTCCTAGCAACAGACAACACATTCGGCTCCACGTGACTGCCACTGGCCCAGGGAACAGCAGAGACACAGGAGGGGGAGGGAGCAGCAGGCACCGAGCAGGGTTTTTAAGCCCTCCAGCCCCAGGGACCCACTCATTTTGGGGCTGGCGGGGGGGGAGCCCCCCAGGCAGCCTCTCACCTTTGGTGTCCAGCTCCACATGGATGATGTTGCCCATGACCGAGGTGTTGTGCAGGTGCTGGACGGCTTCTCGCGCCCCCTTGACAGTGGCAAAGATCACTTTGGCAATGCCCAGGTGCTTCTTGTTCTTGGGGTTGTAGAGGATCTCCACCTCTTCCACTTCCCCGTATTTCTTGCACATGTCGGTCAGGAAGTTCTCTCGGATGTTGTCGTTCAGCTTGGCAAAGGTGACCTGCTTGGGGGGCACCGGCCCCACGTAGAACTCGTCGATCTGGAGAGGCAGACGTGGAGGCAGTTAGGGGCCCGCCAGACACCCAAGCCGCCCAGCGCGGGGGGAGAGCAACTGTCGTCCAACAATGTCACAGAAGAAATTTAGCCTCCACCCTGTCAATAATTCACTGGGAAATGGCTCCCTTCTCATGCAAAGTGGCATTTTCAGCTCCTCGATCAACAAGCGCACACCTCTCCCCAGAAGCATGAAGCTGTCTCCCCAGCCCTCACCCGGGCCCTGGCAGGCACTGATTTCTGGTTGCCTTCCTGGAGCAGGATTGTTGGTAAGGGGGGGAACCTGGCTGCCACGTTAAGTGGTTGGGAGCGCCATCCCCCATACCCGAGGAAACCCAAACACCCAGGAAAAGCCAAGGCAGGTACCTTGAATTTGGGAACAGAGAGCTCCAGCTCCTTGGTTTTGGTCCATATCCGTCCTATCCTGGGATCTCGGACACAGTCCACCGGGGCGATTCCCGAGTTCTGGGAGGAGCAGAATAAAAACAAAAAAGGCACAAATGCTGCTTGGGATTGAAGCCAATAATAATAATGAAAAATCCCCCCCCCATCTACAAGGAAGCTGGGACCTCTCCCGGGAGGAGGCAGACACACACACGTGTCGGGTTGCAATGCTGCTGGGGACTGGGCAGGAGGGGAAGCTGCAGCCCAGCTCCTGCCCGGGATGCTGACAGTTGAATACGTTGTGTCAGGTGGCAGCAACTCTCGTGGCTCGCCCCCTCCTCCCGGCGGGTGTGACAACCCGGCGAGCTGAGCCCGGCCCGGCCCCGGCCCCGGCCCCGGCCCGGCCCGGGGGTGC